CCCCCCGGCCATGGCAGAATCAGCCCTGGGGACCCTGCCCCCCTGGCAGCAGGGACAGCCCCAGGGACTCTGGCAAGGAGCATGTCCGTCCCCCCCAATCCCGGCCGCAGGCTCTCACTCTGGATCTCGATGACCTTCTCCAGGGTGGCCACCGCGTTCACGTTTGGCTTCTGCTGCAGGAGGGATGGATCCAGGGGCTCCAGCTGCGGGGAGGGGACACACACCATCAAAACCCCAAAACTTGTCACCAGCACCCCCAAACACCTCCCCAAAAGAGCAGGGAGGGGACCAGAGCCCCTCTCCTAAACCCAGGTGAAACTGAGACACGGCACAGGGTGTGCACCTCGATACATCCTGCACCCCGGGGGGTGCCAAGGGGGATCCCCATGGGTGGGGGTGTGTCCCCAGGGGTGACCCCTGTACCTCCCGGCCGAGCAGAGCAGAGACACAGGCCTCCGAGGCGTCGCAGATGGCCGTCAAGTCATGCCCCCCCTCCAGCGCCAGCACCCCCCGGCCCCCCGCCAGCATCATCAGCTGCTTCGTCAGGTGGCCAAAACCTAGGGGAACACCAAGGAGGGGGTGACAAGCGGCTCGGACGAGGTCCCTACCCCTGGGGACACCCCCTGGACCCCACTCACATTTGGCGGTGACGGAGTAGCCACCGAGCGGGGAGAGGTGGCCCTCGACGGCGTCAAAGCCAGCCGAGACCAGCACCACATCCGGGGAGAACTCGTTGGCGATGGGCATCACCACAGTCCTGGGGGGAGGCACAGGGTCAGGGCCAGGCACAGGGACCCACCCCAAGGGCATGGGGACCCACCCCCAGGACATGGGGGACCCCCCCCAAGGACATAGGGACACCCATCAGGACAAAGGGATCCCCTCCCAGGACAAAAGGACACCCCTCAGGGCATAGGGACACACCCCCCCCAGGACACAGGGACACCTCAAAGGACACAGGGGACCCCCCCAGGACACAAAGACTTCCCCAGGGGTGCAGGGACCCTCCCCAGCGTGCAGGAACCGCACCCCCAGGACAGGGGGACCCCCCTCAAGGGCACAGGACCCCCCCAGGCTGCAGGGAACCTCCCCCCTGGGTTGGAGACACCTCCCCCAGGACAAGGGGACCCCC